GTGGTTTGGTTTAAGAAATTTTGGTGGATTATAAATTGGCACAGTTGAAGCTGGTATGCGCTTGGGAAGCCAAAAGGAAATTTCATATGTTCTTTACTAAGGATGTAGGAAAACCTATATGTTCTTTGCAGCCACTTTTCATGCAATGTCTTCTAAGTACAAGTACAGTCTCAGTACTTTTTAGATCACTTTTCTGCTGTGTATTTTACAATAATCAATGGGTTTTTACAAGGCATTATCAAAAAAAAGTCAAGTTAATATCGATTTATCCCAAAGGTGACAGACCTCTGAATATTTTATCCATCTTTATCATAGTAGGGACATGCATATAACTGTACTAGCTTTATTCTTTAAAAATTAGTCCCTTAAAGCAATATGTTTCCTTCAACTTCGTAAAGTCTCAACCTCAAAAATAAGAAATTATGCAGTATTTCTGTTTGACAGTGCCCTTAGAAGAAGAGAGAAGCAATGTTTCTGGGGTCAGCATTTGAATTCTAATGTACCGTTAGTGTACAAGACTCCCAAATGATTTATGAAAGGAAGACTAGTGGTAAATAGAAGATTATAAGAACCAAACATAATGAAGTGCCAGTAGAAGTCTAGAAAGCTTTCAAGGGTGAGACAGTATTACATTAAAATCAGAAGCATTAATTATATTTTGTTTAAAGCACCATTTTCAAAGGAAGTTTTCACTATCATTGTATACTAAAGTAAAATTCATTATTTTCATGGGCAATGGAGATGGCATGGTATCTCATAACTACAGATATGATGGAAAGGAATATAAAATGGGATCTTATTTCACAGAAATTTAAATGAGGTTTTTTTAATGATTATGTCTGAAAACCTACAGTGTTATTGTAGTTATTTAGATACAAAATATTTAGCATTTTCTTTCAACTTCTAGTTCTTAAGAAAAAATGGTAACCTTTCTCATAATATTTATTTTTTAGGGTCATGTACTTTAGAGAAGCTGACACTAAAAGCCCATGTAGATATTTTGTAACTTGGCAAAATACTTAGCTAAAATAACTGTTACTGATTATGGGATGTATAGTCAGCAAATAACAAAAATAAATTAGAAAGTCATAATATAATTTATAATCATAAGCAATTAAGATTTTTGAGACAAACTCTATGAAGAAAATGAGAAAAACATTAATGGAAATAATGGATTTAAATCATGACACATTCATAATGAGATAATTCAATTTACAATGTTAAATAATTCAGTCTCTTATATTCTAAATGCAGTTTCTCAACATTAAATATCACTGAATTATTTTTACTATATTATTTTTGTACCCTCTATTGTAAGCCATTAATTTGACATTAAAAGGTGATGTGATTATAAAAACATAACAGGTAAATGATTGTGAGAAATCAAAGGAAGTTTAACTGGCTTTTGATACTATAAAAAGAATCTTAGAAAAAGAGTTTTCATTTCCCAGATGTCTGTCAACATGTATACTCACACATATTAGCTATGCTGTGAGTAAGACTACAGGTAGAAAAAAAAAGTGTGACCACAACTCCAGTTCCTTTTCACAAGCAAATGAAATGCAAAGCAACTGAATAATACAGGACTGTGCAGTTCATCTCATTGCCTAATGGCTAATGCTGCCCATGTCTAAGCAAAAAAGGACTGAACCTTCCAAACTTATTTCCATGTGAATAACGTCATAACTACAGAATACTACCTTCATTATGTAAAAAATATGCCTGTCTCAGCAACATCTGTTCACTTTTTATAATTTGTACCCAAACACAGTCAATTTATGGGAAGAAAAAAATCAAGGCAATAATTTCCCAAGAACCAATCTCAGACTCTTTGAATCAAAACTGATTGGAGAGGGGCAAGGAGGAGGAAATTCCAGTTGGGGTAAGTTACCCATCAGGAGCATCCACAATCTTCTTGCCATTAGCACTAAGCACCAGCATACACTGAAGATGGGGTCCCCAAGCTGATCACATGTTAGAGCTTAATACCAGTCCATCCCATCCCATCACTCTTTGGGTGTTGGATTCTTGTGGCAGACTGCCTAGCACTAGGAGGCAAGTTAGCAGTTTCACATAAAACTTTCTAGGCCTCTTGAATGTCTTCTGTCTTACACACATAGTCCTTCCTCCTCCATCTATTGTGGAATGTCATCAGTTAGTTTAACTTGTAGATTACACTAAAAGAGGTGAAAATTTCATGAAAATTTTAATTGCTTGGTTATTGCTGACCTTCATGCTGAGGGAGGTGGAGGACTACAGAAGAAAGACAGTGAATGCCACAAAGGCTAAAGTAAATGGGTAACAGAAGAAAATATCAAACCCTATTTTGGGGTTCTTGGTTGTTTTATTTTGCTGGGAGGTTGGGATTTTTTTTTTTTTAACTGTTCTTTGATTTTTAAAGGCCAAGGAGTTAGGAACTACAGCTCGTGTATTTTCTCAGTAATTATCTGATCAGGAGAAAAGCAAAATAACAAGAATATATTCTTTAGAAGAGGCTAGGAAAAGGTAACGATAATATCTATGAGTCCTAGAACTTTTCAGGGTCAAGCTTTTCTAGAAAGAAAACATTTGGGAAAACCCAAAAAAAGCCCTCAGGAAACAGAAAAATAGGTAGGAATAGTTGTCTCTGAGAAAGAGATATTGGTTGTCAGACAACACCAGAATAAGGGATGAGTTTTATATATAGACTGCATGCCACATTACTTATCTCAGATGTTCAGATTACTTTTCCTTTTGTTCAGTGCTATCTTTGCAGAATAACTATGAGCAATCTAAGTTTTAAAAAAGAAAAGAAAATCAAAATAAGCTTAAGTGAGTTTAGGAACTTCTGCATTGTAGAAATTGCACTGTGAAAGATCTGCTGTTTATTTCAGTGATGTTTAAATATATTACCAGTGTCTTCCATGAATTCGACAGTTTAATATTTTGTGACAGTTAAAGCTTTACTTCATATAAATGTACTTTGATTTCAGGCATTCTGAACAAATTTATTACAGGTCTGTTTCACAGTGATAAAGAAAGAAGATAGAGATACATAACCAATAGCAGTTTTGACGGTTTTCTGCCAAGTCACACTGTGTAGCTTCAGCTGAGAAATGAAAACTAATTTTGTTGAACACAACATTATAGATTCTAAAGAGAGTTCTGTGAATTTCAATCCTGAACTTTAAATCCTGTAAACAAGTAATATCTGAGTCATGGAAAGCTCACACCATTCTGTCATGCATCACTTATTAATGACCTTTCTTGACCTCATAAAAAAACTTTTAACAAAGGAAATGCATATCCATAGCTGCTTTACCATAAGAAGGTAGTATTTAATATGAATAGCCCCATTCCAAACCCTGCAGTTCCATGAATTATCTAGTATAAGTTTAATTGAGTTCATTATAAAAAGGTTAGCATTTCAAGAAAGACAATTTACAAATTGCTATACATCTATCTTTTTGTACTATTATATTCAGGAGGTTGCAACAAGAGAAGGCATGTAGCACCCGATGTGCAAATTAGCCTACAGTAGAAAAGTTTATGGAAAAAACTGAAAGAGAAGAAAAGAAAGGGGCCGAGGGCTCCATTGCTTACCCACGCTCTTCACAGTGGTACTTGATAGGAGAAAGAGAGCATAAGAGGATCAAAAGAGAATCAGAGTGGATATAAGAAAAAATAGTTTTTAAGAAAAACATTTTTCAACCTGATTACAGTCAAGAAGTGGAACAGGTTGCACCGAGAGGCTGAACAGTCTCCATATTTGGAGGTTTTCAAGGTGTTACTGAATAAACCCCTGAGCGACCTGGTCTGATCTCATCACTGATCATGTTTTGAGCAAGAAGTTGAACTAGAGACCTCCCACAGCCCCTTGCAACCTGAATTATTCTATTATCCTATAATTATACAGTACTGGGTACCCAACTGCTGTAAAAAAAGAGAAGGCTTTCGTAACATAATAGGGAAAAGGAAACATTATTGTAGATGGGAAAAGAGGTAAGAAATCTCTTACTGGAGTAGCTTTCTCCACTTGCTCCCTACTGCAACTGTAGAAGAGAGCATGTACATCCAAAATTAGGAACAGGAAAGATATCAGTCCACAAATCTGCACACTGGCTTTGTAATGAATGATGAAGTGGAGAGTCTGCCAAAGTAATTTAGATAATTATGGCCAAGAAAGACCATATACAGTAGGGGTAATCTAAAATGATTCTTTCCTTATGCTGTGTTTTCCTTTTGTAACTCTGTTTTAACAGAATTTTACTTCTATTCTTAGCCTGACAGAAGACAGTAAGCATACTCTGTTATATTTAAATCTTGTCACACCATAAATCAGTCACCTCACATACAGAAGATACAACCTTCCCTGGAAAGGTGGACATAACTGGGCTTCACTGAAAAGAAATGTTTTTGCTATCTGTATTCAGGGCTCCTCCTGAGTCTTCAGGTTGCTTCCACACTAGGTTGCAGGTGTCTTTTTGTACTGTTAACACTAGTTTATGCAGAGAAAGACAACTCCCTTGGTATGTCTGGAACTTCTTTGATGAGAAGCAGGAAAGTGAAAAATGCTTTCACACTTCTGGAGGGTGGGATGAGAAGGAAACTTGTCACACTAACAGAAAACATATCTGAAAAACCCTTCCCAACATTTTTTTAATTCTGTTCCTTATCCTACAAAGATGAAAGACTGAGTTTCATTCCTAAGACCTAATCTGTTTTTTTGCCTATGTATTCAAAATAGAATTAAGACTATTAACTCTTCCGAAGTTTGCAGCTGGATGGTATTGATAGTGATGCTGGAGGAGATGGGGAAGCAACTATTTATCTTCACTTTAACTGAAAGTGAAATAGGAAAAAAAGATATAAAATGTCAGCATCAAGGATACTAATAAATATCTATGAAGATATGTATAAATATTAAAATAATTTCTGATTTCAGGAAACAAAAAGTGGAGTTGAATGTACAGTCATGGAAAATAACATTTTTATCTCATACTACTTTGTTTCTCTTTTAGTGGCAAAGCATTACTATAACACTGGTTGAGAAAGTGCAGATGGTTGCTGTAATCCTAGGATCTCTGTTCTTAGTAGCAAGTGTGACTTGGCTTCTATGGTCAGCCTTCAGCCCTTATGCAGTATGGCAAAGAAAGGACATCCTTTTTCAAATCTGCTATGGAATGTATGGTTTTATGGATCTAGTATGCATAGGTAAGCTCAAAATCTTTAAACAGCACAGACTGTGGTTTAAGACTGTGACTATATCTATTTTTCTAATTGGTCACGCTAATCGATCACTCCAGTTCTTTGCAGATTTATTCTCAGCTGATACCTTTAGCAACTGCTGCTTTTTACAGTGTTACAAATACTGCAAAGAGAAAAGAATCAAAGTTTTACTCTCAGGTTCATCAAAGTGTCTTCCCAAAATCTTAGTGGTGAGAACAGGATCAGTTTACATTTCTTGAAAAAATAGATGACTAGCAAAATTTGGGAAGTTAAATAGATGAAAATAACAAAGACATTGTTAAAATAATTAGTAAAATTATGCATTGTCAAGTCTTCTACTGATGCCACTTTGCATTAGACTGTACCATCATGAAGCTCAGAAGAAGCCCTTAAGGATGTCATCAAACTGCACACCCAAAATTAAATTGTACAGACTTATATAGGTCACTGTGCTAGTAATAGAGGAGAACAGAGAAGATAGGCATGAGTTCTTTGTACATCATAAACAGTTATGAAACACTCACATACCTCTAACTATAGTAACTTCCTTTACTGTTAAAAAGTCTCAAGTCATTTAACTCTAGATGTAAAAGAAAATGTGGTTTACTGTAAAGGTCTTTTGACCACTCTTGGATTTTCTGAAAATGCACTGGACCCAGAAGTATTTAAACAGACATCTCTTTAGTACTTGGTAACAACCTTGAATTGATTATTAGAATAACTACAATTATCTGCAGAGAAAATTTACATTAAATATTGCACAATTAAATAATTTGCATAATTAAATCTACATAATTAACAACATTAGTTTACATTAAATCCCATGCTTAGAATTGGAAATCCAGAAGTCAAATGCCATCTGATGTTTGCTTTGAGATTTCTGAGAGATAATGTTATCCCAGTGTCATATACGGGAATTCAGGACAGTGCTGAATTCTGCTCAGTAAGGGACAAAGAAACAGAGTGATTCCTAATATCAAGGCTTTTGCTTCAACTGTAAAGCCATACCATCTTGTATTGAAACCATCCAATTACTGTAAAAGTATTTATATTTCAGCTAGATCAGCAGTTTCATTTTGTAATTTTTATTAGCGAAGCCCACTCTGGAATATTTTGGAACACAGGCTTTCATCTGTGAATTCAGATCTTCTCTGACAGAAAAGCGAGCAGAATCTTATACTTTGGACAAGTGCTCAGCTTTTAAATTAATAAAAAGGCTCAGCTACATATCCTCTTACATGCTGGTTTCTGAATACCACCTCTTCCAGCTTAACACTCAATATTGAAGGGTTTGCTTTTGTTTAAAAAAACACTAAGTGAAGATAAAATGTGCTTCAGACACTCTGAATGTCTGTGGGAGATCAGAAATGTTACTGTATTTATCTATAGAAGTAAACTGTTGGAAGGTGAGCTTTCCATAGATTGGTACATGCAGTTATGTAGCTGCCTTTCAAGCCAGCCAGGCTCAAGCCATCACTGAACTGGAAGCTACTGAATTAACATGGTATGGACCTCACATGGCTATGGAGCTTCTGGCCTAACTGGCATCATGCAGGAGCAAAGCACACATGCCGTTGTCTGCCCCCACAAGATAAACTGACTTGCCTCTAATTAAATAAATACATATTTTATAATCCTATCATAAATAATATACAACAATTTTAATGGAAAACCGACTATAATTAAATGTATTTCAACACTGTTTTGTAGTTATGAAGTTCAGTGCAGATACAACTTAACAGTTTACTAGACTGTATCTGAAAATTCAGAAAACTGTATAAAGGAGGTTTGGTAATTGTGGAATTCTGATGATCCAGATTCATTCATTCATTTATTCTGCGTATAATTTCAAGTCATCTGCATACTGTAAGCTTGTAAGATCAGGAGCTCTTGTAATTCTTGAAAACATTTATTAATATAGTCAGCTTTATTCAATTTTATTTCAGCATAAAGTGAAGGGGGTTAGATTGATAGTTTTAATTTAAAACATTCAAATAAAGTTCTCTAATAAATGTATATAACTATTACTCCTTACTGTTTTTAAAAAAACAAACACTTTCCATTATGCTGATGACTTCCAACAGCATTAACTTATGATTTTACCATTATTATATGTAATCTCTCATATCATAAAGCTTGTTATGCTTACAACCAGCCACAGTTCTCACTTAGTATCTCCTCTTCTCTCATTTGTGTTTAGTCATCCATTGCATTCTCTGAGTTTTCAACTGGACTTACAGTGAGTGAGTGCCTATACTCCCACTGATATCTATCTTTATTTCAATGAAAAATCTATGCAGATATACAGGTTTTCCTGTGCAGCACATATTTCAAGACAATGCTTGGTGGTATGACCAAGTTTTATTCTCCCTGCCTTCAGTTATGCCTCCCTATAGCTTTGCAGAAACAATATGAATATTTTTGGTCATTTGTGAAGTGTAAGTATCTTCACACAGAAAGTGTGAAGCACTTCTTAAAATGTTTTACTATAATTTTTAAAGGCAGTTTGCCTAAAGGTACTGACATATTTACATGACATCTTTGAAAACTTGCACATAATGATTCATTTTCCCAGTGTCTGACTTATACATCATATGTAGCAGACCAGTCACTTTCTTATTAAGCAAACGACACGTAACTTTTATTTTACTTCTTAATTTTGTTTTACTTTTCACCAAAAGTCCCAAAGATTACAGATCACCAGTATAATATGTTCTATTCATTCCAGTGTACATATTTTATTGGTATCCATTGTTCTCCTTGTTCTACTCTAAATTTTTCCAGAATTCTTCCTAACAAACAGGATGGTTTTTACTTTTCAGTGTTGGTTTTAACCCTACAAGTCATTAGCTTGTACTTTTCTGCATCTAAGCTGGGTTTAAAGCTGTTCTCTTTGAAATCTGCTGGTGGTAGAAGTTTTCCCACAGCAGACCTTGAACACCCTAATCAAGTAGAATTACTGCCTGTGAAACCCAGAGCTATTGCAGTGATAGTGCTAGGATCAGACCATCCATGTAGGGATTACCAAAGGGAGTGAATTCATGGGTTAATGTGAAAGGAATGAATAATATAAATCCCTTATCTAACCACCAAAGGACAGGACATCAAGCCTTTGTCATTCTACTTTGTAGACCTAAAAATTATTTCTCATAACAGAAAAGTCAGTCACAACTACTAGTTATAAGTGGTTCTGGTATTAACAAAATATCTCACAAATAATAACAGCTAACTTCCAATCACAGAAAAACAGTGCAGTTCCTTTACAGCATGAAAAGAGGTTGTAACATTGCACTGGAAACATGACTATGGCAAGGGAGTAAGAGATGGGAGCCAATGCAAGGTGTGAGTAGCCCTCTGAAAGCCTCTTTAGTCCCCACCAAGGAACCTGATGCCTAGCAACGTTTATGTAGCTCCTTAGTTGTAAAAATGTGCAGGCTGAAGTTCCTTACAATTAACACATCTAGCTGCACTTTATGTGTCCTTACTCAGAAAGTCTTCCCCCCCCCCCCCGATCTAATTCTAAATAGTTTATAAAGAGTTATATTACTATTTTTAGAGAGGACATGTTTCACTTTAATGCTTTGAGCAATTGATTACTTTTTTTTATATATCTGTGGGCCCTTAAGACATGGCATTTTGTCCAGAGATAAAGTCTGTTTCTGAAAAGGGTCTTTTATTCCCTGGTAAGATCTTGTGATGTTTCTGAGAGGACTATTCCTAAATGACTCTAAGTAAGGTTAGTGTGATAAATAAGATAAAGTTGTAACCTAATACCATCAAATCTGAATGATGTAAGACAAGTAGCCTACTTGTAAAGCCATTTACTATGAAAAATTTCAAGTGATCTTGTAACTCAGGGTAAGAAATTCTTTAAATAGAGTGAATCTCACAGTACTTGGAAAGAAAATAAAATTATGATTCTCCATAACCCTATTGTCTGGATCCCACTACAGTCTCTACATCTTAGAGATAAAACCTAAAGTCGTCTTAGAATCTGTGGACATTTTGATGGGTCCATCATCCTAAAATTCTGTTCCTTGTAGATATTAATTGGACAGAACATCAGAACAGCTAACAGTAGTGAATTCTGACACTTCTTGGGATCATCTGAGTCAAAGAAGTAATTTTTTTTCCCTAGAAGTGTGCAATATGTTCTCTGCGCTGTTGAAATCGTGGTATTTGGAACACATCAGTATTTTTTATGAATTTATCCTTCTACAGAAAGAAAGGAGATTCTTTGCTGTTTTCTTACAGCTCCACTTCAGTGACTAAGTACTTATATTTTGAGCATCAGAACTTCTCTGGACCTGGAAAATCTCCAACATTTAAACCTTATCCAGATTTCTTCTTGTTTGTGGTCTTGGAACTCTTGTTGCTGAGAGCTTTCTTCCCCCCCTCACCCCCAGTTCTTTTGCCTCTTCTACATAGGTCTTTTTCAATCTGTAGTTCTATCAGAAGGGAAATAAAACTTTTTATGAGAGGAATTATGAAAGTCCTCCTTTTCTCCTTTAGCATTGCCAAATCTGACAACTTTATTTCAAGCCTTGCAATAGTTGATCCTTTGTTTGGTAACTCTTTTAAAGTATACGTGACTGACAGCTTCCATTGTACGGAAAATTTCCTTGCAAAAGTTGAAAAACTTTGAAAACATAATTTCAATAAATCCTGAAAGATCCAAAACAGTAAAAAAGGTCTCTCTGAAAGAAGTTGTCCTATGACTTTTTCTGTTGTAATTTTGGGAGGATACTTTTGACCGTTTCAATGTACTTCATGTACCTCAATGATGCTTTTCAAAATGCTTCGCTCTCTATTCTGAAATATCTTGTTCAGGTTCCAATGGAGTGCAGGCATGTATCTTCACACTGGAGTAAATAGATTCTTTTAGTTTTCCTTTATCATAGTGTTGAGAGAAATTGGGCCAAATAATGCTATGTTACACTGACAGGCAGAGGAGGATTATTCTCATCTCCCTATTCTCATCTCCTTTATCATTTTATAGGAAATCCAACAGGAAAAAAAAAAGGGTGTATCTTCATCACAGTGGTAAAGCCATGGCTTATTTGGTTTGTAGATTCTGTACATGATCAAACACATTTATTCTTTTTAAGACAATCTAGCCAGTCTTGAAGGTGCATTTATGTATTTAATAGATTATTATTGATATGTTAAATTTTTAGGTCAGGTTGCTTTATCTGTATCTGAGAAGATGAAGATAGAAATCTTGCAATCAAGAAAAAATTCCACTAAAAGGCTATGCTGTTACAAAATACATTTAGAATGTTTGCTATTTAATTAAGCTTATATTGTGTTACTTTTTCTGCATTGGATACTTCAATGAATTCTGGGCAAGTTGAAAGCCTTACAGAGATGCTGCATTTGCTATCATGCCCTTCTGAAAGAAATTTTTGTGTTTCTTCATCTTGTAGTGTAATGATCTTTAAACATGTATTAGAATAGGCATTGCTATCTGAAAATCATTGCACTTGAATCTGAGGTTTTCTGTTCATGTAAATATTTTTATCATCCTTTCTGCCTGTGTCATCTTTCTTTGAACAACTCCTTTCTGATGTTGGTTAACCAAGCTAAAGGACCTCAGACACTTAGATCACAATTTTGTTGTGCAGAAAGAGGTACTACACAATCTCTTGGCATAAAGGACTATAGCCTGTGACCCCACCAATCATATAGATGTGGATATGTATAGGAAAATTTTAGACAAGAATCACAGTGAACAAAAGATTTATAAATGTTTTTGGCTAGGCAGATTGCTCTCCTCCCAAAGCAGGGAGCCAGAGAAAACATGAGACATTGCTCAGAACCATATAAGTTACCAGACTGATTGAGGAAAAAACTAGTAAGAAGGCTGAAGTCCTATGTGTCTCTCCTGTAAATTCATATATGAACTACTTACACATAAAGAGTATGAGTATAAATATATACATACATACAAAAAATGAAGAGCTTCACTTCTTTACATAAATTGCCAGAATGCATACAATAGGCATAAATATTAGCTACATAGAAATTCATAAGTGGATTGGTCTGTTGAGGACTCCAGAAAATCTGTATTTTCCTTGAAGAACCTTTTAAAAGATTTCCTGGGTCTCAACAAAAAGATGATTCTCAACTTTTTCCTGCTGAATATCGAAGAGAAAGAAGAAAGCTTATCATCCTTACCATGCTCATCATAGTTAATAATAAAATTTAATCTCTTCTTGTTCTACTGAAACAAGACAGGAAAGTCTTTCTACTTACAGCTATTTCAGGTTTTCACAAATCTTCTGTGCTCCTGAGTTGAAATAAGAATCTGAAAGCATTTAAATTTCTCTGTATCTGTACTGAATTCTACAATACACTCATGCAAATTTAAGACCATCCTGTTCCTTACAGAAGGTCTAACCTACTTAAAGATATAGTTAAACCAGTATAAATATCAGTAAATAAATAGTACTTACCATGAACAAGGGCAGCAGTAGCATAAACAATCAATTTCCAAATCTGCCAGTTTTGCATGGGTTTACTTAAATCTAAATAATTTATTTAGTTAGGCATGCTCAGATTATTTCAGTATTGATTATGTTGAGCTTTTATTCAGAACAGTTTTATTTCCTCTGCATGTTCCTGCCTCCCAAACACATAAATAACCAGTTACATTGCATATATACAGTTTGTTTGAATTATTAATGTTACAAGTAATTTAATAGCCTTTGGAAATTAACAGTCATTACAATGTGTTAGTTCTCTATTTACTCTCAAAATGGTATCAATTGATATTTTGTACAAACTCTTTTTTTTCCTTTTCCTTAATTTCAGGACTGATAGTACATGAAGGTGCATCTGTTTATCGAGTGTTTAAGCGCTGGAGGGCTGTGAATCTACACTGGGATGTGTTAAATTATGATAAAGCCACGGACATAGAGGAGAGCAATCGAGGAGAATCCTCAGCAGGAAGGACATTGTGGTTACCACTGACTGCATTTAGAAACAGAAGTTTGGTTCATCCAACACAGTTAACCTCACCAAGATTTCAGTGTGGCTATGTGTTGTTACATCTGTTCAACCGCATGAGACCTCAGGAAGATTCATCAGAGGATAACTGCTCTGGGGAAGTAGTGATGAGAGTTACCTCAGTGTAAAGATTATGCTCACTGTGCTACACAGATAAGGATAATGTGCCCTGGTGTTACAGGACTTTGGAATGTAGTTATGATGAATGGGGAAACCATTAACACTTGAAAAAATATATACACTTTTTTAAAAAATTTAATGCTTTTTATATGATCAGATAAAACACAAATACATTTTTCTGGGGAAAAAAAAAGTCTCTTGCTTTTTATACAGTCTGATTTATTGGATCTTTTCTCACTTTGTACCTGAGGTGTATATAACATAACTTAACTCTTAGGTCTTTGAATGATGAAGAAATTAATTTTTAAGTAAAAAGATATATTTAAATGTATTTTCTTAAACTCTGGCTTTAATCCACTACTGTTATTTTTTTCACTTTCACGAGGATTAAACTGGACAATGTTCTTCCAAAAAGAAGGAGAATGTTGACACAAGTCAAGTATTCTTCCTTTTCTGTCTTTATTTTTTTGTTGCTTGTAGCACAGTTCAGGTGTGTGAAAGTAAGTAAGGGATATATTGTCCTTTGCCTTTAAGAAGGAAGTCCAGTGGCTGCTTTACAAAACCTAAGGGAAGATGGGAAGTCTTCTTTTCTTTTAGCTCTCCCAGATGTCCATGCAAGATGTCAGGCACAAGTATGACACAGACAGAGGAAGAGTCTTGCACTGCCTCTTGAGTCTCTAAGATCTGCAGAGTGCTGGTGCTGTGTCTGTGCACAGAAATGATGTTACCTTCCAAGCAGTGGTGCTGAAATTAGCAACCTGTGAATTTTTAGTACCATTCTGACTCTGGGTCATTGACATCCATTTTTAAAAATTAAAAAAAAAAAAAGTGCATTACAGCTTCTGGAATAATAATAAATTCAAATAGAAACTGAAGTAGAAATAATGCAGGTAACAAATCATACTAAAATGAGCCAATATCATGATAGATAATCAACACTGTGAAGTGTGCTTCTCTTGTTTCTGTTCCATGGCATAAATTCCAATATAATTTAATCAAATTGAAATGGAAATAATTTTCAAGTTAATTAAGCCTGTTGAGGACTGAGACAGAAAAGTAGAGCTGAAATTACTCTGAGAGCACTAGCTTATTTAAAACAGTTTCATATAATCATAGAATCACAGAACATGCTGAGTTGGAAGGGACCCACAAGGATCATCGAATCCAACTCTTGGCCCTGCACGGGACTCCCCAAAAACCACACCTTGTGCCTGAAAGTTTTGTCCAAATACTTTCTGACTTCAGACAGGCTTGGTGCTGGGACCACTTCCCCAGGGAGCCTGTGCCACTGCCCAACCACCCTTTTGGTGAAAAACCTTTTCCTGATATCCAACCTAAACTTCCCCTGATTCAGCTTTGTGCCATTTCCTTGAGTCCCGTCACTGGTTATGAGAGTGAAGAGATCAGTGCCTGCCCTGCCCCTCTGCTTCCCCTCATGAGGAAGTTGTAGATTGCAGTGTGGTCTCTGCTCAGTCTCCTCTTCTCTCCAGGCTGAACAGACCAAGTGACCTCAGCCACTCCTCATACGGCTTGCCCTTCAAACCCTTTACCATCCTTGTGGCCCACCTTTGGATGCTCTCTAAGGGCTTTTTTACTTTGCAGTGCCCAAAACTGCACACAATATTCAAGGTGAGGCCACACCAGTGCAGAGCAGAGCAGGACAATCCCCTCCCTTGACCGATTGGCAATGCTTTGCCTGATGCCCCCCCGGACATGGTTGGCCCTCCTGGCTACCAGGGCACTGCAGGTCCCTTTCCACAGTGCTGCTCTCCAAGCTCTGGTTCCCCAGTCTGTACCACACATCCAGGGCTGCCCCATCCCGTGTGCAGAATTCAGAACTTGCCCTGATTAAACTTCATGGGTTGGTGACTGCCCATCTCTCTGATTTGTTGAAGTCTCTCTGTAGGGCCTCTCTGCCCTTAAGGGAATCAACAGTTCCTCCCAATTTAGTGTCATTGGCAAACTTACTCAGTATTCCTTCGAGTCCTCCGCCCAAGTTGTTAATGAAGATGTTGAAGAGAACTGGGTCAAGGATGGAGTAGTGGGTTGACCTTGTCCGGCTGTTAGATCCCCATGCAGTTTCTCTCTCCCCCTTCTCAACAGAAGGGAGGGGGAAAATATGCTGAAAAATCTTGTAAGTCAAGAAAAAGACAAGGGCATCACTTACCAATTATTGCCTCAAGCAAAAAAAAGAGACAGCAAGGGGAAAACGACTTTCATTTATTGCCAACTAGAAAAAAATTGGATGGTGAGAAACAAATAAAAAACCTAAAACACCTTACTTTCATCCACCCCTCTTCTTCCCAGGCTCAGCTTCCTCCCCTCACTCTCAACTCCTCTACCTCCTCCCCACTGAGCAGCACAGGGGGATGAGGAACAGCAGTCTGCATTCTGTCTATAATAGCTTCTCTATGCCTCTCCTTCCTCCTCCCCACACTTCTCTGCTCCAGCCTGGGGCCTCTCCAGGGGCTGCAGTCCATCAGTAGGAACCTCCTCTAGCATGGGTTCTCCATAGGCAACAGTTCCTTCAGGGCATGCCCACCTGCTGTGGTGTGTCCTTCAGGGGCTTCGGTGTGGATGTCTGCTCCAGCAGGGTCCTCCCCATGGGCTGCTGCACCAGGATCTCTCCAGGGTCACAGGGAAATCTCTGCTTGGGATAGGCTGTGTCTGGCATAGTCCCAGGCTATCCTCACAGAGGTCACCCCTCCAACTCCCACCCCCACATGTCTCCCCAGCCACCCACACTCAGTATGCAGGTAAACATCTTTCTGCTCCAAAATAACTTTATCCAATCATTGAAGAATTTTATTTTGTGCAAGAGATGGAGTGCTGAGGCTGGAAAATTCCCTGTCATGGATCAACAGGATGGTGCTGCAACCAGTGCAAGCCCTGCCTTTATAAGAGGCTTACGTGCCAAGATCAGACACAGGAGGCCTCTGTAACTACACTCGGAAGGGAGTAGTTAGAAATAATTTAAGCATTGGCGCTAAAAGCTCCTTATATATTCATAAATATTTATCCAGTGAACTCCACACAGGCCTCAACATTCTGTGTTATAGTCTCACAAACTCTAATTTAAACTTACTAAATCTACAGATGCCTTACTGCTCTCACAATTCATGTGAAAAGCAGTACATAAGACATGAACAGCAAAATGTTATCTCAAAAAAGCCAGTTTGTCTCATGCATGGCAAATTACCAGCGTACGACAGGCAATCTCCTTGAGAAACTATGAGAATTAAGTTCTAGATTATCTTTAAACAAATTCCCAAAGGAGGAATTTGTGGAGAAATAGCAGATGAAACTATGACTTGGGAAACCTGCTATATCACTGGGAATTATTACTACTTAAATGAGGGCTGCTTTCCCAGAAGGACCACAGTTCCACTTGACCAAATTGAGATCAGAGTTAGTATCTCAAAAAGCACTTTTAATACAAGTATAATAAGGTATTCTGTGATCAATATACTTAAAGGTTATGTTTCATACATTTTAGCTACTTGTGATCTCTGGGATTTAAAGAACATTTCAGTGGTCCTTTTACAGGATCCTAAAAACAAAATTAAAAACTAAATGAAAATGTTTTGTTGCAAAGAAATCTTTTAATTTACATAAGTAGGGTGCTGGGGGAAAAAAAAGACTCACCAGAAAAGATCAAAAGATGTAATTTAAGAGAGGACAAAGTTTTTGTCTACAAATATTTGAAAGACACCTGGGTCTAGAACACTTAACAGCTTCTGAGGGGAAAAAAATAGTCTAAGTAAGAGTAATGAAAATTGCTAGTAAGAGAAATGTTCATGGCTAATATCAGAAAAGCCTTTTTAACAGTAGGATTACTCATCATTAATTTCTATGGCACAATAATTTTGCATATGTCTGCATTTATGTATTTCTGTATGTAGAAACAAAGACCAGGAAATTATAAACAGTGACAGGATTAGTATGGGTAGGGTGCAGTTGTTAAAAAATAATGAAATTGTGTTGTCCTGTAAAATGTTTTCAGTAGTAAGAGTGCCTAGTGCAGGATATGAACATTTCATTAACCTTGTATTTGGATTTATGTAGTGCTGTTATCACCTAAATGCAAGAAGATGAATTCAAATCAGAACAGGTGCAGAGCGGGGATATTAGGATGAAAAAGGAGCAGAGACTCTATTCCAGTTCCTACTGGGGAAGGTCGGGGGTGCCAGGAATTAGAAGAGCTTGTTCTGATCAACAGAAGTTGAGAGCGAATGTTTTTGTTCTCAGTTAATACATTACAGAATAAAACTTATTTTAGGCAAAGGACAAGCCTAAGACAGCAGAAGAACTCAAGGACACAAATAGATCAGAAATAAATTTAGCTAGAAGTTCAAGGTAGTTTTAAAATATTCATGGAATGAATCACAGACAACAATTCGAGTTGGAAGGACCCATGGGAGGACATCTAGTCCAAGCTGCAGAGTCAGCTCTGAGGTCAGACCAGGTTGCTCAGGAATTTAAGCTGTCAGGTTTTAAAAATCTCCAAGGATGGAAATTGCACAGCTTCTCTGGGCAGCCAGCTCCAGTTCTTGCCTGTCCCCAGAGTGAAAAAGTATTTCCCTCTATCCCACCTCTTTTCCTGTTACAGCTTACATCCACTGTTTCTCATTCTCCCATAAAATGCCACTGGGAAGTGCGTGGCTCTGTCTTCTTGATAACCCCTTGTAGGGGGTCTTGGCAGGCTGCCCTGAAGCAGCCTTCTCCAAGGCCAACCAAAACCTCAACCCTCGGTCTCCCCTCACAGGGCAAGTGCTTCTACTGAATTTTTTCCTGCTGCTTCATGTCTTTCCTGTACTGGGTTGCCCAGATAGCCCAGGGCACTGGAAAGCACCAAAGGATGTAAGAACTTGGTGGTGAAGACAAAGAAGGCATTAGGGACATTGGCCTTCTCTGTGTCCACTGGCACAAAAGCACTCACCACACTAAGTAGTGAGCACACAGCTCCTTGCTTGGCCTTTTACTGCTCATGCAGAGGTTGAAGCTGTTTGTCTTGCCCTTGATGTCCCTTCCAGTTCCAGCTGATATTTGGCTTTCCTAACCCCAACCCTGCAAGTCTGGGCAATATTTCTGATGTCCTCCTTTCAGAATGATCACAGAATATTCTGAGTTGGAAGGGACCCAAAATGATCATTGAGTCCAACTGTTAAGTGGATGGCCCATACAGTCACCAAACCCATGACCTTTGTGTTATTAGCACCATGCTCTAACCAACTGAGCTAATCTCAGGGTCTTCTGCCTCCTCTATGTGGTCATTTTCCAGAGGAGGTCTGTTATGAGTCCTTGGCTTAGCTGAGCTGGGCTGCTGATACACCTGGTTGTTTTCCAAGGTATCAGCAGTTCCCCTCATCTCCTTCACCCTTCAGAGCTACTCTTGTGTGATCTCAGCTGCCCACTTCCTGCACAGGCTTCCAGCTGCTCACC